ACCGTTGAGTCCTGAACTCGGGCACCTCTTAAATTGTTTAGTCTCAATTTATTTTATTATCGTGAACCTTTTAAAACTTTTGGATCTAAAAAGTGTTGAAAAGGACTAATTCGAGTCCATCAATTAGAGCGGAGGGATTGGAGTAGGGGACGATCCTATAAAAGAAAAGGGGAGTGACGAGGGAAAAGAGCGATAGTTATCTACTACGGCTCAGAGTGTTGGAGTGCAGCTATTCTGTGATGGCTGGTTTTGGCTCTCGAGTGAAGGGGGTGCCGCTGCTCTGCATATGCAAGCAGTGATACACATTGAAGCCTAGATTTCTCAATAGTCGGGGCTTAGTCTGTTTGGTAGTCTCGCGTACAGGCTAGAACGGGTTGAGCGTTGGCATTGGCTACTGAGGAGAACCCGACTATGGCACTGCATGGCTATATACCACCAGGCCCGGTTGAGACCCATGTCTGGGGAAGGGCCCTGGATCACAGTCATGCTCAACTACGATGGGGGAGATGAAGTGAAGATGAAGATTAACGTGGAAGGGGCAAAGGAGAAGGATATGCGGACGGATGAAAAACTGCAGGACGTGATCACGGAGGCAAAAGACCGTGCGGAGAGGCGCTGCAGGAGGGACGGAGTGACTGCAAGGTTGCAGGTAACGGTCTCATACCATGAGACCGAGACCTCAATGGACACAACGGACCTGGAACAAGCCCACGTGGACAGGGACTCAGGTGGTGAGAGTGAAATGAGCGAAGCGGGAGACCGGGAGACAGATCTCAGGTCTTGGAAGTTGGAACAGACCAAGCGAGATCCAGAGGCATCACTGGGCCGCGAAGCCGGTGGACGAGGGACCCGAGGCCAGCTTGCGATAGATGATGCCGAGGGGCCGCGGGACAGGAGAGAGACAGAACAAGGGGAAGAGACATGTGTGAGAAAGTGTGTGCGCGACGTGTGGCACCCCAAAAAAGATTGACGAGTGAGGTTGAAGGTCAAACAAAAGGGAGAGGCGGAGCAGATGAGCAAAGGGGGTGACCTTGCTAGGTACGGTTGATGCCAACCGCTGCGTCCACGCTCACGTGCGACATCTTGTGGCTGTCGAGCCGCAACAGGTCTTCATGGGCCAGTTTCGAGGTGCGAGGGCTGGCTCTCGAGGCGGATACGCGTGAGAGGTGA